CGACATGTCAGTAGCCTGCTGATTTTGGAGGCATATCCCGACCCGCCGACAATTGACCTTTTCCGAGGGCCTGCCGACAGACATGAAAATGTCCCATTTTATCGTTGTGCTTCGTTTAGAACTAAATTAGAAGTCATGATCCAGATTTTTGCTTTTACTGGTCATCATGTTTGTTTCCATTGCTCTCTCATCTCCTAATAAGGTGCTACGTCAGGCGAAATTACTGGTCAGTCGGCGACACGCATTTTTCACAAAAAATTGCGTTTCACCTGCTGGGAGAGTATGCGTGTACTCGAGTCTCATCCTGAGCACGTTTTTTTCTTCTTTTTTCAGCTCCAGTATAGCTGTACTTTCATTGCAAAGCCGTCCTCGATTGTTGTGTTCGTAAACGAAGTGCACATTCAATCATGAAGGCAGAGGACATAGGAGCCTGATTCGGGTAACCGGAGTAAGTGCCAATTGATGTTTTTGGCTCCAGTCAGTCAAGTGATTCAATTGCAATAAAATTATATACGTACGGTGGAACTCACTTAGTACGTACCCGGGTACGACATACACCTGCATAGTACGGTCCTCTTTTGTCGCACGGATTTTCCTCCCATAAGCGCATACTCAGATGTGTACGGATAAGACTGCTTCCTTCTGTTCATGTGATTCATTGTCGCTGTGTTACTGTATGCAGATCTCACTCAGCTCTGCTCTCCGAGCATTCTGCTTCCAACACGCCGTGACTTCCCGAAAGGTATGTATGGTGGCTAATAATGCGAGAGTCTTTACAGATTCCAGTGCTCTCATGCCTTTTGCAAGTTCCTTTTGTAAGTCAAATGGAACATGGTTTGTGGTCAATACTTCAGCAGTAGTGGTACGAGAATATTCGGGTGTCAAATTGTTCGGAATTGATGTATGATAACGGAGAATATACCAACATGTGAATCACTTGGAGATTGGTTTGCCAGGTTCTGCTCACACTCACTAGGCTAGACCCTCTCGAATATTGTACAACAGTTCTAGCCCAGGAGTAGTAAAGGGCACCGGGCAAGCTATGTCGGGACCTGCTGTAAAGTCCGCCATACACGAGCTGTACGTCTTATCGGATGGGATATACCCCTGATATTGCTGATAACGAATGGCCCAGTTTCATTGTACTGCTGTCCGCGATATTATATCCTTAGTGGCATTGTTAAAGGGGAAGTCCGGTGAAAAATTTAAATTTCAGGGTCGGTAGAGTTTCGGCCGCTGAGTCGAATGGTGTTGGTCCCACGTGTCTCCGACAAAGCGTTCTCGAGATATTTCCGTTTGAAAAACTGAGTTTCGGGGGCTGCGCCATGACGTCATGCGGCCGCGCCACACCCTCTGCAACTTCATAGCGTGCAGCTAGGTCAAAAGGAGTGCGTGAAAGCAATAGTGTCAGTGCTATTTCAAAATGATTTGGCGACTGATATTAGGTGGTGCAAGCGACCCCGAAGACATGTAACTCCTTGTGAGAGTGAGGATACAGCCATGGCTGACCTTCATGAGTTCGGTCTGGGGCTGAGAACCTCGGTAGTCAGCTGAAGGAATGGCCGCGCGGGCCGGTCAAGAGTGAGCGCTACTGAGTTTCCGACTGATGAAGAAGCAGCAGCTATTGCAGACGAGGCTGATGTAATTATCAGATCGCTGGAGAGCAGGGTCGCCAAAATGGAGAAGAGTGATGCGAGTGCTCTAAATGTTGTTCCATACCGATTAGATTCGCTTAGACTCCAGTAGCCTGCCACATAGTGATGTTTTGGTGCGAACTTGGAATATTTCGGACTACTCAATTGGAGAACAGTGCAGGCTCTTTGAACCACGGGCACGACTCTTCGCTCGCAACGCTATGGAATCTGAAAGTTCTAGGTCCGAGAGCTGTTCGCTGTTTTGTCACTTGTCACGGTTGTGCACTCATCGCTGTAGCATAAAATAATGAGGCGCCGCGGGTGCGGAAAACTAAAATTTTCTTTCTCAAAGCACAACCACCCGCACCGGCAAGGAGAAACGCACGTTCTCTGCCTACATGACTGTACAATACGACTGATACGAGTGTAGTACATGACAAGTCCGTGTGTTGACTAGTTTTCTGAGTCTTGTGTCAGTTGTGACATGAGTTTGTTGACTGCACTACAGCTAGCTAGATAACACACTGCACGCACTGCATGCACGCAGCGCAGAGCGCATAGACCATGATGTAGACCAGTGGTAGACGGGCCAACGGAAAAGTCCAACTCGGAAACGGCTAAAATACGGTATAACCTCCAGGTTTACCGAGCTGAAAATCACAGGGTACGTAGTGTTTGTAACACTGAATCGAATGGTCTTGGTCCGAAGAAGCTGCGATAAACGGTTCCCCAATCGAACGCGCTCCGAATATGGCCATTTTTGTACACAACTAGATGGTGTGGCTACCTGGCTGCACGCTGTGACGTCATCACCTGGATCTGGGTGATGCGCGCTCAAATTCGCACATGTTCGATTGGGCGTATCTGACGAACCATAAGCCGCAGCCTCCTCGGACAAAGACCATTCGACTCAGCGCCCCGAACTCTACGGACTGTGAAATTTAAATTTTTCACCGGACTTCCCCTTTAACTTCTCATTGCTTGTGGGGACGCATGGATCATACGGCCATCCAGCACCTGCCAATCGGAACCCACCAACAACGCTGTCGGTTGGGTTGGACCACAATCGGTTGGTTTTTGAGTCCAAGATGCCGCCTAGGTCGCACACAGCATTGCTAATCTGATTTGAAATTAGCTGCGCAAATCCTGGCATACTGCCCGTAAATGCATCTAACTCCCAGGGTGCTTATGAGTTTTTAGGTCTATGTGGTACTTGTGTTGCATTGGCAGTCACTGTTCCGTTCTGTATTTTCTGGTGTATGTGTCGTTGAATCTCCACAGAAAATGTGCTCACGCATTAGAAGGAGGTGAAAGATGCACCTGCAGGAGAATACATGCTGAAGAGAAGGCAGAAACATGCCCGGATCCACCAGAACTAGTGCTGGCAAGTCAACAGAGGCGAGTACTGATAATGTTCCAGATTGTGGTAGGATAACATAAGCAAAATTGACACTGGGAGGCACGACGGTGGGTCAGCTCATGGCCAGCGCCAATTCTAGTGGATATCACGTGCATCCAGTTCTAGTACTATAGTATGACTGCTACAAAGTAGTGCGGCCCAAATAGAACTCGGGTCAGGTGCCGAAGAACTGGAGGGGGGGGGGGGACATGTGTCGATGAATGGTAATCCCGGAAATCATGTTGGTGTATCGAGGGCATTGGCCAATGAAGTGCTGGATTGATGGTGGACGACTGTACTGCAATCTTAGCTGGTCCCCCTATCGCAGAGACAGCACTTCCTGGTGCAACCACCCTATCCTGCAATCTATATAATAATTATTATAAGAGATTTGTGTGAACGATTTTAGCATGATGCAAGTCATCTTATTGTGCTGGGGGGCTGGCTACATGTCACTATAGCTTTTTATAGACTCAATCACCGCATTACGCTGCCTTGTGTTGACTTGATTGAGCACTCTTTTTGGTTAGTGTCAAAGGTATATGTAATATGTATCTGCCTTCGTGCAAAGCTCTCTTTGTACGTGTCTTGCAGATAGCTCGCTGACTTTGATGCTTTGAGCCATTTTCAAATTGCTTTTTTTGTTCATTTCATATAGACCGTATTGCCATATGTTTAACTCCCGCTCTGAGCTCCACTGATGAGACCTAAAAAGTTTGAAACAGCTGTCCGGAGATTGAGCGTCAGTATTATGGATTTATAATACACGATCTGGGGACAGCACTAGTACTGTCTAGCTGTTTCGTCCTTTGTGGACTCATCAGCGAATCACGGAGAAATAACTCTCAACTAAGGATGAACCTAGCAGCCATGAAAATAGATAAATAATGCCTCCAAGCCAGAATTCAAGGCTACATGTGTAGGCCCGAATGTGCCTCGCCCGAGTGCTCAAACTGATAAGTCATTGAGATACGCATAGAACATCTGGCAAAGCAACTACTAAAGCCCCCACGAGCACGATATTCTACTTCAACAAGGAAGAATTTTGAAAGCATGCACAGCCCTACATGTATAATGTTGGTATAGGTAAGCCTTGTTTGATAAATTAACATGTTGATCGGTTGACAGCATGTTGCAAGGCGGGGGACGCACTGTGTTAAAAAACAGTGCTCCTGATACACTAGTGTGTCCTTGGCTTTGTCACATGCTGTCAACCGATCAACACATACAACGTTGCATGCAAAACGGCTGCAGCCTCGAAGTATGGAGTGCTATTTTGGAACAACGGTAGCTGAATGATACATGTACATAAACCCGGGGTCATCATTGCAAGAACCTCTGGGTCTAAGCCCGAAGTAAAATTCAACTACATGACTGTATACACCATCATGTATACGCCATCTTCGTAGTAACTGAGTCTACCCCTCACCCACTACTGCCAATGTGACCACAAGTGCGCACAATTAGAGGACCTTAGAGGACCTACTTCTAACTACAGTGCTGGCCAAAGAAATCCAACCTTATAAATAAAATTGCACCGGGCGCTACGCAGCCCTAGTAGTAAACATACTGGACCGGTCTGTGCTCTCAGCCGTGGCGCTACTTTATTAACGAGGTTGGATTTCTCTGGCCAGCACTGTACAAAACACACACATGCACCCACAACACTGCTAGGCTTTCCACCACACTAGGTTTCGAAACCGAAGAGGGGCAAAATTCAGGGCCAGACTAGAAAATCTGGGGAGACATGATGGTTTTTTAAGCAAAACACAGTCAACACTCTGCAGCCTCAGGCAGGTTTTCATGAGTGCACAAAATTAAAAAAGTGTTGATGCACCACGAATACTGTCGGGCGTCACAGAACGTGGGACCCAGGAATGTACGTGTACACCTCTAGGAACACCACACCCAAGAAACGCAGTGTCAATTGACTCAAGTCTCTGCTTCTCGCTCCACATACACCGACATAACGACATGGACCCAGACAACAGAGGCAGGAGCACACAGAGTGAGGGTAGTAGGCCGCAGCCAGATGTGAACCGGAATGCAGAAGAAAACTAGGAGCAACAACAGGGGACAGATCCCAGGAGGAAGGAATTAATACATTCATCTAACATAAATAAGCCAGGACAAGCACCACTTGGGACCGTCAGATAAATTTCTCTGGACCGAGCCAGCCGGGAAAAACCCTCGCGCCGACGGACGCACGAATGAGGGAAAAAACCGGGTGTATAACCCCAAGTGGCAACATGGCAGCATAAAAACAGGCACAACATATCTACAGCCAAGAAAGAAATGGAAGAAGATGAAAGTCAAGGAACTAAGCCTAAGGCCAGATTGCTGAAAGGTTTTGTATAACTGACGAGCCTGACCCCTTGGAAACAACAGTCGTGGATGCGTGGCTCTACTGTAATAAATGTAGAGGTACACAAACAATTTGAATGCAGAAATAACAACAACAAACAGGGAGAGGTGTAGGAAAATATACTCGGATCCTAGTGAATTTGCTTGTGTATTAGCTTGAAAACTTTGGGTACACTTGTTGAGAGACCTATTGCATGCAGCTAAAATATGGAGTACCGTTGTCACCGACAACTTTTCCAGTAAAGTCGCGGCTAACATCTTCTCAGGTATTCCCGGGTCTTCGCTAAGGGGGAATGATATCATGTGCGTCTTCTATTGCTGATGTCGCTACGCTCAATGGTAGTGCTGATGTACTGATCGTGGTGGAAGATATTGAGATGCCGTATGTCTCGAACCTTTTCGCCAAGTCTCGCCATCGCGCAAGAGGGTCGGGAGCACCACAACTGCAACGCCACAGATCCAAGGATCGATTCTCGGACAAAACATTCAGATTGCCAAAGGTCCCCAGTGCTTGGCAATACTGGCCTGTACAGCATGAACACACCACACATACGCCCACACACCATGTACCATGTAAACGCCCGTTGCAGAGAAGCACGCAAATCTGCAAATGAATTGGATGTGCACCCACAGATTCTCGTATAGGAACAATAGCTGATCTGAATCTGAATAAAACAGATCAAGACTAGTGCCAGATAATGATCTAATCCGCACAAGGCAACTGGCGCAGCCATGTGAATCGAACAAAATTGACAAACATGTCCCCAATTATCAGCAAACGGGTGTGCGTTACAGGATTGGCCTGGCAACTTCAAACAGGCACAATCCACTAACGTGGTGCCCCGTCAACTTCAACGGGAACACACCAATACAAACACAGCCCCACAACAGCAAAACGGGTCCCCTGGCAACTTAACGGGAACGCACCAACACAAGCTGGCCTGGCACCTTCAAACAGGCACAACTGACAAAACACGGCATCCGGCAACAGCAAATGGGTAGGTACACCGTTACAAGAACAGTCCATCGCACCAAAATGCTGCTGCCACAACATTATAGCAGCAGCATGCCAGACATGCATACATGGTATTCCCAAAAGCAGATACCTGGAGTCAAATTCATCCATCACACTGTTTGTTAGGGCTCAATTTTCCAGTGACAATAGCAAATCCCACCTAAGGCACATGTGATGAGATCTGTACACCAACTATAGTCACAGAATCAATGCACATTAGTAGAGCATAATAACTCACTTGCGCTCATTCCCTGTCACGTAGAGATGCTACTCTACTTTTACTGTTCCGATGTCCATTGGGGTGGTATGCCGGCCACTTGCCAGACGTAGAGCTTTGAAGCCGTACTTTGCCACCGTCTGCTTGCCGTATCACCACCTCACTTGCAACTCTGGATTCCAGGACTATCGCTCCAACAATGGGCATGGAGCGGGAGCTAACCTGATAACAGTTGAGAGCGTGACAGAGTATCTTATTTAAATAAGGCCGAGTAAGGTGGATCCCTTCGGCAAAAGTGAACACAGGCTTAGTGCTACAGGCATGGGCTGTCATGTACCAGAATAGCCAATACCGGGCATGTTTCGTCGACAGTAGATGGAACTGCGACGGCTCCACCGTATATGGCCGCGTCTTAGTGACCTTCAGGCGCAACGTGACCAAGTCAGGTGCGAGACTCCCAGCCTCCCACACAAATACTCTTTGGCTGTCACACGAGTGAATACTAGTAGATGATGCTAAATACTCGCTGGCAAACAATAAGCCATAGAAGGCCAGTAGTACACTTAGCCACAGCATAGCCTGATCTACAATATGACTGCTTTGATCGTTGTACCTATTGCCGAAAATGGATTAAGTCGTCCACTAAAAGCTCTTTGAAACTCGGATGTTGAGCCAATATGGCAATAATAAAATTAATGTAGAAAAAGGACGTATGGATACGAGTGTAGAGTAACTGTCACTACATACTAAATACAGTCAGAAAGTGCAACAACTAGGCACTAAAACATTTGACGACCTGGCTCCTGGCTTCAACACATCTCCGTAGTGCTAACCAACAGCCTTCCAACTCGGAACGTTCAAGGTTAAGGAG